ATAAAATTTAAATGTAGATAAAACCCTTTTGAAAGTCTCCAAGTCGGATATCGCCAGACTCATTTTTTCTTCTACTGTAGAGTTGTTCTAACAATTAAAAAAACTGAACCTAAATATTCCACTCTTTACAGCACTGTTAGCCAATGTAATTAAGAGATCACCATATTGCCCTATCTTTGCCAGTGCCTGACATTGTCCTTCATGAGAAATTGTGCCGTTAAGTGTGGTAGCACTGGGGTTATGGAACTCTCTACCTAACAAAATCAAGACAGTGTAATAAATAATGAGCTCCAGGCACCAATCTAAGAATTACGTATTTGAGCGAGGCAGCCTTCTTATTAAAATGATTTGTTGTTTTCATAAGCTTCTTGTCTGATGACCCATTTTTGAATTCTCTTTCTTTAATGTATTCTGCTTTGATTTTATTTGTTATATTGTTTTGGTTTTAATTGAAATTCTGCACATAGATATATTTCAATATGAATTTGTGCTATAGAAATGTATAAATAATAATAATAATAATAAAAGTGGGGACTAAACATATGAGAAAACTATCAAATGCAAGAAGGTAGATCTGCAGAAAAACATTGAGTACAATTTAAAAATAAACCAAACCAGCTAGAACTTCTACATTTTAGTGTTCATCTTTGCATGGTTGATGAATACAGAGGAGCACCAGTGACCACCCTTGTCTTCTGGTGAATGCACTCCAGCCAGGCCCCAAACATCCATTCAGAGAATCTAGGTATATGTTCATATTCGTTGACAAATGGTTATCCTCAAAACACATTGGAAAGACTTAGACATCAGCCTTCCCAGCTTTTCCACGAGCAATTGTCATGTCAGACAGACAGAGAAGGTTGTTGGTTTTTTTCAAGGGAAAACTACACCCACATATTCTGCCACTGTTTCAAGTATCTTCTCTCCACAGTTATCTTTACATCAGAAAACCTGGAATGCCCAACACTATGCATCGTGGCCTTGTTAAGCAGCGTAGACCTGCCCAGTTACATTTTGTGAGCCTCCTGCTTACTGTGCTGACAGTGCTTTTAGCCTTTAACCTACTCCCTCTCATGCTCTAATGCAACCTGCCTTTGGGCTGTGGCCACATGAATTGGCAAGTGCATCCAAGGCAGGGGTTGCCAACAGGCAGCCTCAAAGCACCACCCAGCATGCCAAGAGAATTTGGCCAGCTTCTGCAAGTTCTGCCTTTGCAGTAGATGCCTGGGTTTGATGTCACCAGCAGACAGGTACAGCAGTAGCCAAGGTGGTGGTGGTGGAGGAGATGGACTGAAGAGGAAGTCAAGGTATCTCCATCCTTACTGAAGCTGATTATATCAGCAATGACTCCCTACATCCCCTCTTTTCTAAGGCATCCCCATTTCTCCTTCCTTCTCTCCCCCCTCTGTCTAATTTTGTGCTGTTGCCCAACCTATTGTTAATTGCATTAAAACTGTATGGAAATCAACATTCATTTTTTTCTTTTAATGAAGCAGTGCTTCATATATCTCACATATACCAAACAATAACTGGTTGTGATACATTAATTCATTGTAGGGGATCATGTTGAAAAAGAGAACAATAACAGTGACAATAACCCACTGCACTTCAGAACACAAGGTAGAGGCTGGATTCTTCTGCTAACTTGGAATTCAGATTCCTGCTTCAGCAGGGTAGGGCTGCCCTCTAGGAATATAAAATATTTTCCCATCCGTAGTAAACATGCTGGTTGATGGCTTTTGATAGCCCATTCTGTCTACAGTAGCCCCAAACCAACCATTGTTTGCAAGTTGTCCTATATCCCTTCTTAGGGATCAACCTAAGTAGAGCGGTACCTCGGAAGTCGAACGGAATCCGTTCCGGAAGTCTGTTCGACTTTCCAAACGTTCGGAAACCAAGGCGCGGCTTCCAATTGGCTGCAGGAAGCTCCTGCAGCCAGTCGGAAGCCGTGGAAGCCCCATCGGATGTTCAGCTTCCAAAGAACGTTCACAAACCGCAACACTCACTTCCAGGTTTGCGGCATTCAGGAGCCAAAACGGCCGAGTACCAAGGCGTTTGACAACCAAGGTATGACTGTATGGGAAACCAGCCTAAATTACCCAGGCTTAACTTAAGGTGGAGTAAAGCACACCAGATCCAAACTCCATTCAGGAGTGGGGCTGCTGCCAGATGAGCTGCCCTAAACTTGGCAGAGGGAAACCAAGCCTTGGGGGGAAAAGATTATTGCCCAGTGTCTAATGAATCCCAGCTGGCAAACTCTTCCCTGTGAAACAGATACTTGGCAAAGTTTACATATACTCTGCAAGGTTTACATTTCAATTCTAGATGTTGCTTTAAAAGCTGGCTAAAAATATTTTAAATAAATATAAATGATATATTCTACGCCTTTTGAAACAGATTACCTTCAGTAATTATTTGTAATGGCACTGGTGCTGATGATCTTACCTACTGGACCTGAAAGGGAGCAGCAGAGGTTGCCTTGAAAATGTGACCTGGGTGCACGCTCTAATGACATGTGTTGTGCATGCCTATGAATGCAACCCTAACATAGGATGCGTATGACATCCTTTAAAATGCTTTCACTATCCTTTGGTTCATAATTGGGGACCAAGTAATAACTGCATTTCGGGGCAGGGGGCAGTTTCCCCTTTGACTGGCTACTGACATGACACACACACACACACACACACACACACACACTCCTCCCAGCATTCTGTGGCTTAGATTTACTTGCTTGAATCAGTCAGAGAAACTGGTCTGTTTGGTACCTGTTCCCATCTGAAGGCAGACCTGTTTAGGGAAGCTTTTAATGTCTGATGTTTTATTGTATTTTTAATATTTTGTTGGAAGCTGCCCAGAGTGGCTGGGGAAACCCAGCCAGATGGGCGGGGTATGGATAATAATAATAATAATAATAATAATAATAATAACGGCGGCTGACTAGAATTTAGATTGTGGGGAACCTTTGGTCCTCCAGATGTTGCTGAACTACAATTAGAAGTATAGAATCATAGAATTGTAGAGTTGGAAGAGAACCTGAGTGCTGTCTAGTCCAACCTCCTGCAATTCAGGAATCGTGGCCAAAGCCATCCCTGGGTGGGCTTGAATCACCAACCTTCTGGTTAATAGCCAGATGCACTGACCCATTGCACCACAGTAGGTCTTGTTGGCTGGCTTGTGGGCAAACCAGAAGTGTCATTGCTGAGCGGTCAAAGAACCCCCACAGAACTCTGGCTACATTTCCCCTTAGAGCCATTAGTGATTTCCAGTTGCCGAAAGCAAAAAGTATGTTTTCCCACCAGCAGGAAAGTTAACACCATATAAATGAACATCCTTTCATTTAATCATTTTCATAATGGAAAAACACATAGGAAAAAACATGGAGCCATTTAACAAATCACATGCTTTTCTTGTCCTTCCTCCAAAATCTCAGGTGGCACTCATGGTTTGCACACACATACACTGCCCTTGCCTCTATCTTGTGTTCACAACAACCCTGTGACAAAGACTGGACTGCAGAAAGTTTAACTGGCCCAAATTCACCCAATGGGCTTCATGGCTAAGCAAGGATTTGAACCCAGGTCTCCCCAGTGCAATCGATCTACACCTTATGAGCCTGAACCTGAGATCAGGGGTTTTGATCAGCCCTGGCTAGAGGTGACTGAGGGCAAACAATGCCCAAGAAGCTCTAAACAGTGATGGCATTGGTTCACAGATTTAAGGACAGTAAATTTAACTTCCTTTTGAGAGCCAGCGTGGTGTAGTGGTTAAGAGTGATAGACTCGTAATCTGGGGAACTGGGTTTGCGTCTCTGCTCCTCCACACGCAGCTGCTGGGTGACCTTGGGCCAGTCACACTTCTCTGAAGTCTCTCAGCCCCACTCACCTCACAGAGCGTTTGTTGTGGGGGAGGAAGGGAAAGGAGAATGTTAGCCGCTTTGAGACTCCTTCGGGTAGTGATAAAGCGGGATATCAAATCCAAACTCTTCTTCTTCCTTTTCTCATCTTGGAATGTTGAGGTGCAGGGTTGATTCCTTTCTCCCAATTGATGCTTAGAATATATGTAAGACTATCTGTGTGCACCCTGGGAGTGTTGGGCACATAAGCTAGGAAACAGACAGAAGCCACAGCTCTACTGCACACGGGCTACAGAATGCAATCTGTTGTATATACACATTTCCAGAGTACAGTAACATTTAGTGGCAGTGTCTTCTCAGGGAGCTGGTAGGGGGAGACTTGCTCTTTCTCCACTTACTATACAACAAGACTGAAATATTTGTTATTAGAATATCTGAGAAACTGTGCCTCCCACTCCCACCCCAGAACAAAGCACCCTCATAAAACCAAGGAGTGATGATGGATCTTGGCAAGAGCCAGCTTCTCCCGTCCTGGCTGACAACAGATTCAAACTTGTTTTCAGCATTCAGCAGGCAGAAGATGGCAGGATGCATAAACAGCTGAGCCTGAATCACCTTAACAATGACATAGAACGTACAAAAGCAGCAAGCAAAATCTCAGGATGGCTGAGGAAAACTGATTGTCAACGAGCACCATTAAAAACTACATACACACACACTCAAGAGAGCAAGAAAGGCCTCAGCTTGAACCCTCCTGCACCCAAGAAATAGTCAAGGGGTGTCTCTTGGGAAACAGGTTGTCCCATCCAACTTTTGCTTTTACATCTATAAATGTATCTATAAATATTTCATTTGCTTCTTTGATATTCACACCAGAGCCGTTTCCTCCGCAAGTCACAAAGGAGGCGAAATGCTTCCAAGTGTTCCCCACCTGCAGATGGAGAGAATGGTAACATCTCTAGCTAGCAGGTCCCTTTCCTTTGATGTTTTGCTCCATTGCCATCCTCCTCGGTGACATCTCAGCCTAGCCAATGGCTCCCCTCCCGCTTTTGGAATGGCTTGCCTGTCACGCCGGAGCATTGGCTGTGCTAGTCCGAAAATCCACAGGGCAGCGCCTTCACAGTGGAGTTGGCTGTCAAAGTGATCAGTGAAGGTCACTCTCTGCCGCTCTGCACCTCCGCTCCGCTGGACAGAGGAAAAAGAAGGACAAAAACGAAGTTATCTTTGTGCTTCGTTGGTGCCAAACCGCATCACAAGTGCTGAGGGATCCTATGTTCGTTGTACCCTGTGAGAGGCAGAAGAAGAAGGTTCCCACAGGTTATTTTGTAGTTGAAACTCAAGTGAAAGCCATCATGCAAAATAATACCAGTAATACTCTTGTGGTCCCTTTGAGCCATAAGACTCCAAGGGACCAGCCCCCTGTGGGATTGCATGGAGCTGGTGTGAAGGTATAAATCAAACAGAGGAAGCGGAAGGCATCTTCAGAGGGATCATTGTGCAAGACGGTGTGCATTGCGTAGTTCTGTGACTGCAATGAGTGCACAAATGTTTTGCTTTTATCTGCATGGTTTTGTTTCTTTACGGAGTTTTGTATTAAGACTAAACAGATAAAATTCACATAAGGCTAAATGAGCAAAACATGACTACTACTACTACTACTACTTCTACTAACTATTTCCAGCATAATTCTTCCATGTGCAAGTAGTTACTGGATCACTTAGGAATACATTCCAAGTGAGCCAAATGTTACATGAGAGGAGTCTTTTCAGTGTACTTCTAATGATTTCCTAACAAAAGAAAAACTAGTCTGCAACAAGAACATTTGAAAGCTAAGAAAATCTTTGGTCATATAACACTTGAACATATCAGAATAGCTTTTACATTATCCCACAGAAATGTAAGTATTACTACCAGGGAGTAAAATATAACCAAGTGAAGGAAAGCAAAATTACTTCACAGGGTCAGAAATTTGAGCATGTAGAACATGCACATCCCAGTTATAAATTGGGAAGAGGACCCCATCTTATACTCTAGATTTCTGATGGATTTTACCTTAGAAAACACAATACTAAGTTATTAGTGTACAGTAAAAATAAGAAAAAGAGGTGTGTGGGAGAAACATACCTTGTGAAACTTTTGTTGTTCATTTAGAGAACGTGAAAGAAATATAAAAAGAGAGAAAAGGAAAGACGTAACTATCAGGAATATTCAAAGCACATCAATAACGGAAAAACACAAGCAAGTAAAGTGATAAGCAATTAAACAGAAATTTACTACAGTTAAGAATGGGCTTGCAAAACTAATAGAGGATTTCCCCCCAGCTCCATAAATTGCAAGAACTTACATTTGGTTTTTATGAATGAAGTAACCACGACAAAATTATAAATTTAAAAGCTTGTGCCTACTTCAAGCTAAGACAATAAGACTTGGTGCATGGAGCACAACTTACTTAGCAGCACAACTATGTCATGCATGCATTTTAGTTAAGAGAAGTGGACATAAAACAGAAGGTACAGGAGAGCACTACACAAAGTTCACTTTTAAGACCTTGAGCCTATGCACACTTGATTGGAAGAAAGGGCAAAGTGATACACATTAGGGCAAAGAAACACAACCTCACATGTACAGTGATGGTATCTGAGCTGGCAGCAGGGCCACCATCTGGGGTGGCTATGAGGCGCCCCAGAATTTTTTCAAGAAATATTGGAGGTATGGTCATGTTGACTTGCCCTGTCTGCTAGTACAGAAACTGCAAACTTCAGTGTGATTCTTCTTCCCATTTGTAAACAGAGAACAATGACAGCAACACCACTTGGGGAAAAGGGCAAATAACTGAGAAGTGGAGGGCTGTATGTCACAGTATCCAACACGGTTTGAGCTGAAATCACAGAAAGCCTTGGGAAAAGAGGGCGCCTTAAATGGCAGGTGTCTCATCAAGCTGAACTTTAAGCCCCAATGCAGAGCTGCCTTTCCCCAGCTCTTAAATATGCACATTCTCTTAACATTAGGTCTACCTCTCAGACAGAAAGTGAAAACAAATGCATGTGGTTGGAAATTCACACAATGCATCATTTCTGGGTCTGGGCCTCTTCAGAAAGTTGGTGTGAGGTAGGTAGCAAGCTTCAATGCTCCTTCATTTCAAAAACTCCCTGCCAGTAGAAAGCTAGAATGTGCAAAAAAAGTAAGGTCATCTTTCTTGCTAGCTTTCCAGGAGCAGATGAAAAATTAAAAAGTCATTGAAACGTGATATTCTACTTCTGAAATGGTAGTGTAACAGGAAGACTTCGTTGTGTGGAGCTTCCACACATGGGCATCAGCACGTAGATCCACATTGTGTGCCCTCTCGTAGTGGATGTCATTGAAGGCATTTTCTGTGGCAGTTCCTAAACTGTGGAATTCCCTTCCTGACGGTCCACCTGCTGCCTTCACTGTATAGCTTTCATCATATCTCTTTATTCTGCCCCTTGACACCTGAAATACACATTTTTAGGACCCACTTTGTTTTCTCTGATTATAAATTACTTTAACAAGAGTTGAATATTGTATTTTTATATTGCTGTACTCCACCATGGATACCTTATTGTATAAAGTGAGTAAGAAGTCCTTTATTCTTATTTTTTCATTATTGTTAATAGAAACAATGAATGCTTGAATGCACAGAGGCATGGCAAAGCCCTTCATATGCATGCCCTCTAGAGGCCTTCCACCTTCTGTCCAATGAAATGATCAAAATACTTAGAAAGAAGGCAGAAACTGGGTTCACTAATAGGCCAAATTTGTTTTCTGATCTGTTTCTTTCCAGCTGACATATACGAGTGATACAAAATGAACATTTTTCTTAAAAAAGAGAAAAAGAAAGATACACGAGCTGCTTGCATACAGAAGGCTTAGTCAGGCACAGTTTTAGACAGATAATTGGTTCTATTAATTCATTGTGTGTCTCTTATCAAAAGCTGCTGTCCACCCACCTTCACACATGAAAGGGTGGCAGACCTGTGTTGCCGTGGCTCTCTGGAAGAACAAACGTGGGCATGGGCTTTTTGAAGCTCCGTACAGTCATAAAAATATAGCAGCCCTGTAATAGCTGTCAGGTTCAGAGACCTACGATTACTCTAGGGCTGAAAAGTGGACTGCAAGATTGCAAATTAACCTCTAATTACTACTCCCTAATGCAGGCGTAGTCATCACGTTTCCTAACAAATCCTTTAAATCAGGAGTCTGCCACCCGTTAGCACCTAGCTGACACTCTAAATCAGTGTTTCCCAAAACTGGATCTCCAGCTATTTCTGGACTACAATCCCCATCATCCCTGACTGCTGGTCTTGCCAACTAGGGATGATGGGAGCTGTAGTCCAAAAACACCTGGAGACCCAAGTTTGGGAAACCCTGCTCTAAATAGTGGGGAACTCCAAGCATGAACTCTTCCCACTCAAAAATTCTGGCCCTACTTTGAGGTGGGTATGTCCCTCTCAAAAACAGTTCTGTGAAGCCTGATGTTGTACCCAACTGGGAGAGCAGAGTAGGTCAAACCATGCGCCTTTTATCAAGGAGAAGGAAGAGTGGATGGGGCAAGGATGCAAACCCTATATTCAGCCCTTGCAATCAGATCCCACCAACAGGACAAACCACAAGATAATAGCCTTAGCTTATTGTTGCCAGATGGCAAAGCGGTGAACTTCCTCAAGCCCATAAAAAGAATGAAAAAAGAGGCTATTGCAACTGTACTTACTGGCAAGAATGACCATGTCCATTCCCCAAAATATACTCATGATCCAGCCAACCATCACAATCGCTGTGAGGATCTGAATCAGAGCTGCTGCAATGTTCAACCAGAACACACAGCAGATGTGCCTGTCGGGGAGGTCGGTCCGAGCTCCACACAACACCGTGAAGGCAGACACAAACGTCCCTGTGGAAAGAAAGAGCATCAGTGAGGATGTGGAAGGAAGCAGGTGAGGGTCACATGCATGCCAAACAAAACGAGAACATATCAAACCAACTTCATTTCATTTCATTCCTTTATAGAAGTATTAACACACCGTTAGTTTGTGTTTTTTTAAAAACACAACCACCACCACCGCAGTTTACAAAAGCGGTAAATAAAGTCATACCATAAAAACTATATAGAATTGTAGAGTTGGAAGGGATCCCCAAGGGTTATTTAATCCAAACCTCTGAAATGCAGGAATCTTAACCAGATCATTACATGACAGATGGCCATCTAGCCTCTGCTTATAAACCTCCAAGGAAGGAGAGTCCGCAACCTCCTGAGGGAGTCCATTCCACTGTCAGACAGCTCTTGCTGTCAGAAAGTTCTTCCTGATGTTTAGTTGGAATCTCCTTTCTTGTAACTTGAAGCCATTGTTTTGGGTCCCACCCTCCAGAGCAGGAGAAAGCAAGCTTGCTCCATCTTCCATGTGACAGCCCTTTAGACATTTGAAGATGGCTGTCCTATCCCCCCTTTTCCAGGCTAAACATAACTAACTCCCTTAAACGTTCCACATAAGGCTTGGTTTCCAAGCCCCTGATCAGCTTGGCTATCCTCCTCTACCAGGGAAGGCTGGCGGGTACAGGGAATGGAAAACTCTTTTGCAGGTAAAACTGAATCCCCAAATGTGTTTGATCATGTTAATAAAACACAGAGCTCTGTAGCTGCGTTGTATGAAGAACTCTTTGTCACTTGGTCACAATCAATTTTAATTTTACAGGTAGGTAGCCGTGTTGGTCTGCCGTAGTCGAAACAAAATAAAAAAAATTCCTTCCAGTAGCACCTTAGAGACCAACTAATTTTGTTATTGGTATGAGCTTTCGTGTGCATGCACACTTATCTGAAGAAGTATCTGAAGAAGTGTGCATGCACACAAAAGCTCATACCAATAACAAACTTAGTTGGCCTCTAAGGTGCTACTGGAAGGAATTTTTTTATTTTGTTCCTTCATAAAGGCTAATACTCTGCCCGTAGAAGATACATTTTATAGGAACATGTTTTTGATAGGGTGCATTTGATACAAGTGGTACAAAACATACAATGGTTTTTTAAAAAAAAAACCTGAAGGAATTGTTGTGAGCACTTTAAACTTCTGGGGAAAGAAAATGGAAAAGCAGGATCAATGGACTGGAAGAGACACCCCTGCCTCCATAAATTTCAGCCATGGCAAACCCACCAAATCTGCAGTCTACTGATAACATGAATATCTAAGCATCCAAGGAACATATACAACATTAGGGTGAAGACATGGACTAATCTAGCGCCTTAGGTTCTTTATTGCTGCTATAATTTTCGGTTATTGTTTTAATTCAACTGTCCTGGAAAAATAGTATCAGAGGAGGCTTAAATCTTCTAGTGCTCATTTCCTAATATAGCAGAGAGGCAGGTGGGTGATCAGGCAGAGGTGAAAGCAGTGTTGGATGTGAAGCTTCAAGCACTTTAATTTTGGGGGAGGTGGATGCTCGTCTCCCAGGCCTCTTGGGAAAGACAACCTACTTAAGAACTCCCACCAGTGAGAGGGGGGAAATTGTGCCATCCCTGCCCATTTAAAAAACCTCAAACCTTTTGCAAACTCAAATTAAGTTGCTTTCTTCTATTGTATAATATCTCAAGACACTCCCCCCTCTTTTCCTGCTGTTGCCTTTATTTCCAACTCCCACTTTCTCCAAACTCTCCTCAAGCTAGTTTAGAAGCACTGCAGAGGAAAAGAGTGGGTGGGAGCCGCTGAGGTCGAAGAAAGCAACTCTATATTGAAGCTGGAAGGTGGTAGTGGGAAGAAAAGATGGGGAGACTCTTCTCTTAATGAGACAATATCCTTGAGGGCTTCATTTTCACAAGACTGAACAGCTGTAGAAGCCCAAGGGTGAGATGATGCATTTTATAAGCAGTGCCTGCTTGTAGGTGGGGGGTGGGGTGGGGCGGAGGAAGAAATTCAATTCACTTAATATTTAAATATGAATTTACTTAATTCACACTTTCCGAAACAATAAGCGAATCAAAACACAGCCGTTCTTTGAATTCCACCCATCTCCCAATTTTGCGGTGCAGTTCTCCAGACACAAAATGTGTACAAAAAATTGCACATACTAGGGTAAAGTGTACTTAAAAATGCGTGTTTTACCAGAATATGAATGTGTTAATTGCCAAAATCGTTTTGCAAAATTGCACACAAACATGTATATAAGGGGAAATGTGCACTAAAATGCAGGTGAATTTTCATGAGAAAAACAACAACAAAAAGCAGAATTTTTAAAGGCAGAATCAGGAATTCAAGACGACCAAGCTGCTTTAAACTGTGCCCCTAAATGACCATGTGTGCAGCCTGGGAGTTTATAAGTGTGTGGTGTCATATTGTGTTTTTACTACTTTTTGTTGGGAGCCGCCCAGAGTGGCTGGGGCAACCCACTCAGATGGGCAGCATGTAAATTAACAACAACAACAATACTTGAAATGCAGTGATCAGTGAGTGAAGTCAGAGCTGGGCTTAGTAAGTGAATTCTTTGGACATCAGGCAATAGGAAACACAGAGGTCCTAAAGAGGTACCCCCCCTTTGCGCTTTAGTGCACTTTCCCTGCTTTCATTTTATTTTCAAGTCCTTGAAATCTCCATAGCTTGCTCCTTTTCCTCTATCAACAAGGATGCATCTTTCCTGTGGTGGGCTCATCTGTGACCAGGTAGTTCCTAGAAGTTGTTGGGTTTTTTTTGCACAATACTACACAGTAAGTATAGGTGGGTTAAAGAACCCCCACCACCACCGAAAGGCAAATGTGAAAACTTAGGCTTAGCTATATGTCTCTTGTAGTGGATAAACCAGAAGCGTTGCTGAATAAGTTTTATATTGCAGAAGGCATGGTTCATAGTTTTTCTCATGCCCCCCACAGCAGTCATTTTGTGACTGATGCCCACAGCACTCAATCAAAAATTGAGATATACTGTACCTACTGGCCCCAAAATATTGTTGATCCCTGTATAGAAATTCAGTCTTTAAAAATGTGTCCCATTATTACCAACCTCATAAACAAACATCTGTTTATACCTTGGAGTGGGGGAAGGAAAAAAAAGTCGTGGGGAAGTTTAAAAAGATTCATGTTCTTGTTTGGTTCCAGTTAGGCAACATACTACTTCACAAATTGAGAGGTTATACCTTTGGAAAAAGAGGTAAATGAGATGCAAAATGCAACACCTAATTGCTAACGTAGTGGTAGGTGTTACTGAATGACTCAGCCACTGGCAGTGAGCCAACTCTCTGGTTCTTTGACCCAGTGCTGCAGTTTCTACTTGATACCATGTTTGGTTATATTGCTGTTCTAAATGTTCGTGTTCTTACTTCCCCACACGGTCACAGCAGGTTAGAATGACAAGCGCTGGTGCAGATTCTTCTGAAAGGCTTCACTCATATAAATAAATGTTTGGTCCCCTCACCTCCACAAATAACAGAGAAGGAAAAGTGATCTTCCACGAGTGTCACCCTTACACAGCTCATGTAAGCAGACTTCCTCCCAAGAGGAGTTATTTTCTTGGGTATGCTGGCTCCAGCTCTAATGAACTTTTCAGACACCAGCACTTCAAATGTTATTCTTAGCGGTATACTAACGTTAGCTGATCCAGAGCCAAGCAGGGCATTCTGTCATTCCCACATAACGCTGGAGAGTAGACCTGCAAATGTTTTAGCACTAAAAAAAATAGCTTCATAAGCATACACACACACACTTGTGTGGTACAGATGAACCACACTTAGCCTCTGAAGAAGTAATCTTTCAAAAGGTTGGACTCACCCACGTTTACTGTGTAATATTGTGCGAAAAAAATAACTTCTAGGAACTACCTGATCACAGATGAGCCCACTCCAGGAAAGATTCTTTCAGCTGTCAGCTGTGATGACATGGTAAGGGCCCCTTAAGATGACCTGTTTATTGAACAGTCATCCCTATTTGCTTGCAGAAAGCTTGTGCAGAGATTATATACAATGCCGATTCTCTGAGCACCTGTTCCTATTTGTTTGCAGGGAGGTTATACAACAGGGAGCATTCATCCAGATTTGTGTACATGGTGGTTGTTTGGCTTTCCATCGACTGATTGTTTCCCCATCATATCCAGAATTCTGTTCCCGGAGTGGCTAACCTAATATTTCCAAGAGCTGGACATGACTGCAACCCCCCAGCAAGTGGTACTCAGATGCACACTAGTCAGAGTAGCCATATTGCCTTCCGCAGATATAGTACATATTGTCTCTGATACTGGAGGCAACATGGCTGTCATGACTAGCAGTCATTGGTAGCCTTATTTCCTATCAATTTGGCTAATCCTCTACATCTTGTGGTAGCAAGATGTATGTGCTGTGTGAAGCCACACTTACTTTTGTCTGTCCTAAATTGCCTCAGTATTATTATTGTTTTTATTAACTTACCATATAGGAACATTCCCTATATTTGCTGTTTCCTGGCCACTTATGGCTGAAAAAGGATGTCCTAATAACTATCACTGCACTGACAGTCAGATCTCTCAGGTATTATCTACAGTGGTACCTCCAGTTACGAACTTAATTCGTTCTGGAGGTCTGTTCTTAACCCCAAACCGTTCTTAACCTGAGGTGCACTTTCGCTAATGGGGCCTCCCGCTGCTGCCACACCACCGCCGCACGACTTCCACTCACATCCCAGGGTTAGCGGAGTTCGTTACCCAAAGTGTTTGTAAGGAGAGTGGTACGTAACCCAAGGTTCCACTGTACTGTGAGGCATTGACAGAGACACTCCAAAACTGACCGTGCTCTTGACTGAAAGTAGTCTATCTGGTGGTTATTTGCAACAGTTAACTCCTCTTGATTGGTCCAAGGTTTGTACTCCAAACTATCAGTCAAGGGCTTGACTGGAGTTTGCTCTTTTCAGGGATTGCTATCAAATCACTTAGGAGGCCTTCATAAATGGAATAGGGATGTGCATAAGGAAAGCACATCACAAACTGAGTTAAAACATGAATAGCTCAGTCAGCAGAGCATGTGACTCTTAATTTCAGGGCCATGGGTTTAAGCCGCATGTTGGGCAAAAGATTCCTGCATTGCAGGGGGTTGGAATAATGACCATCGTCATTATTCTACAATTCTGCAACTCCAACTCTACAATTCTATGATTCTATTATCTCTAAGAGTCAGTGCCATAAGAAATGCAGATAAAAAGAAATTATTAAGTGAAGTGGAAAGTGGGGAGGGACCCAAGAAGAAAAAAGTACCCGAAAAGATGTGATGGATTCCAGGTGTTGATACTAAAACCTCTTTCCGGGGGTTTGTTTGATATAAATCTAGGTGTCTTTCTTAAAACAAAATCAGTCAAAAGTAAACAGAGCACAGTGGGGGTTATTTGGAATGGAGCCGTACCCTGTGCCTCATTGTCTCCTCACACACAAGCAGCCTTGAGCACTTTTTAAAATAAATATGTAATGTAAAGGTGAAAGAGAAATGCTAGAAAGAATTAAAATAAATAATCCAAAGTTTGAATGAAGATTTCAGAATTTATGCTTCTGCTGGCTTCATCCCTATGTCCCTTCAAAAAGCAAATATTGATATTGAGTTATTTTGAATTCCCTATTAATATAAGCTGTATAGCAGAAGCCTTTACACTAAATGTCAGAACTGAACATACTGAATACAGGCATCCCCCCCACTTATGTGTGATTGACTTGCGCAATGATCATGAATATGTGTGGCACAGGGGAATGAATGAATGAATGAATGAATGAATGAATAAATCCAAACCAGGAAATAGCAAGAGAGTGCTGGAGAGTCCTTGTGGCTCACGAGGAGACCCTCCACAGAGCCCAAAGAGGATTTCAGTGAGAGCGGAGGAAGCCTCAATGACACCAAAGGCACAGCGGGGCTTTGTTTAGGCTGCTCAGCCTCCCTGCCCAGCAGCTGATGCACAGGATAGCGCAGCAGCAGCAGCAGCCGTTGCTTTTCAGCATGACCTCCGGCCTCCAGCCTGCCCCAGAGCTTCAACTCTAGTTGAAGAGAGAGTTGTATGGAGCAAGAGAGAGCAGGAGAGCAGAAAAGAATGAGCATCTATATAGTCCTGGAGTCAGCAAATTATCCATCCCTGAAAGAAAGTGGCATGAGAGAGAGATAGTTCTTTGTGGTTGCTGTGGTGGCGATCCATCTGTCTCAAGCGACAATGGAATGCACCTCCTGGGGTGAAGTCAAACTGCTGTACTAACAGCACTGAAGTGACCTCCCCGGGGCACAAGCCTAGGCAGTGTGTATGGAGGTCCTGGGCAGCCCCAACAACAACACCCCGCTCTGGGCCTTGCTGATGTGGCCCAAAGGAAAGCAGAGCAATACTCCAGCTTGGCTGCAGGAGTTGCTGGAAGGAGGCATACAAGGCGCTATCCAACCATCTTAGGGTCTCCACTCCGGATTTGTGTAGGCTTTGCTCCTTAGCCTTTTCTTCCCCAGTGAGCAGTTGAGCTGCCAAATTTTGTTCTAACTGCAGCTTCCGGGGCAGCCTTTGAGAGTAGCCCCACAATGCTACAATATTCATTTTAAAATGCCAATAGAATACCACATTGTTTAAAATAAAATGTTGGTACTGTATGAAAAACTAGCATGTTATGTTGTCCAGCAGACTTGGTCACTGCTAATGTGCGGCTGACTGATTACTTCTGTTGAATGGTGACTGAGAATGGAGAGGGCACAGATGCTGTGACCAGATTCCCTCTGAAGTCAAGTCTGTATCTCTTCCAGAAGTGCCACAAAATCTTTTTATTTGAGTTGGCTTCTGACAAATACATTTAACCCGATAGTGCAGGATGGAGTACCTTTTTCAATTCCAGGACCACATGGTGATCACATGCCGGGGTGGCTGTGACCAAAAGCCAAAGTGACATGTACAGTTGTACCTTGGTTGATGAACGCCTTGCGATTCGAATGTTTTGGCTCCCGAATGCTGCAAACCCAGAAGTGAGTATTCCAGTTTGCAAACGTTCTTTGGAACCCCAATGTCCAACGCGGCTTCCGCTGCTTCCGATTGGCTGCAGGAACTTCCTGCAGTCAGTTGGAAGCCATGCCTTGGTTTCCAAACATTTTGGAAGTTGAATGGACTTCCAGAACGGATTCCATTTGACTTCCAAGGTACCACTGTACTTTTCTTCAGGAGGCTACAGTCCAGCCATGCAAAAAACCCAAATACAAATCAGAGGTTTATATACACACACACGCAGCCGGGTAAGTAAAATACATTATATGGCAGTGCAAGGGCACATGATGACAGGAAAAAGCACTTGAGCAAGGTGTGGGGCAGGGCCAATGTGGGCTGCCCTAGAGGAGGGCTGCTGCTGGGGCAGAGTCCTAAGGGCCAGATAGAAAAGTCTGGAGGGCCACATTTAACCCCCAGCCTTGAGGTACCTCACCCCCATGGCATTGATTTCTAGGTGCAATTCTTTATCTTTATCTTAAAACCTTACTATGTTCTGAGTTTCTTCACTTGAGATAAATCCCAAATCCATGTGGTGGGAGAATTCCAAGTCCAAAAATAAGTATGACCAAGAACTTCCAGCCAAAATATGCTGCCTGGTGACTCTTCCTTTTTTCTATGTTAGCAAGGAAAAACACGGGTTAAAAGGAAAACAACAAAGATGTGGGTATCAGGCACGGCCATGGACTTTTAGAGAACCCGCATCAGTATGTTGTTAAAGCAAAGCTTCTTCTCCCAAAAGTCAACAGCCCAGCTGGCAGCAACAATGAAACACAGAAGAATTAATGATAGGAGATCCATTTCCAGAGCATGTAATCTAAAGGATGGTTCCTGTATCTGCTTTTCTGCATGAGAGCAATGCCTTCCCTGCAGCCCCTTTGTGGTTATTATCAGCCATCTAAATGTCTCTGTTTCATGAAACTAACAGCCCAGATGACATTCTATGGCTTATAGCCCATCACAGCCATCAGATCCCAAAATGTCTGTCCTATTACAATTCACTGCTGATACAGGAGCTTGTTTCTATTTTCTCCCTTTTTATAGCCCACAGACCTCAATCGTTTTCTACTGACAGACATCCCACTGCTCTGACTATGAGCACACTGTTTTACAGTTTTGCTCTAATAGCCTACTTGCTTTAAAAACAACCACACTTACATGCCCCCTTCCATTTAATAATGCTCAAAGCTGCTTCCAAAAAGTAATGTAAGAGCCATTTTAAAAAACCCTTTCAAACATGTTAACAAAAAAATAGCAGAGCCAGTAAAAAAAAATTGCCAGCAACATTAATATTTAATTTATTATTTGAAATATTTACAGGCCGCCTTTCAGAACTGAACTGTCTCAAGGTATAACTGGATGGCATGCTGGAAGGGCTGGGGAAATCAAAAAGCATTCACCTGGCACTGTAGGAACATCAAGTTTGGCACCAGTCAAGCCTCCCTAGGGAGACATTTTGCATTCAGAGCACCGCAATTGAAAAGGCCGTCTCCCCAGTGCTGCCCTGTCTAATGTCAGAAGATGGGAAGACTCGGAGGCTTCCAGTGAAGATCTTTGCATCTAGGTTCATGCAGGTAAAAGCAGTCCTAGAAATACTTTATAGATAAGCACTTTAAATGAGGCTTTTTCAATGCATTAGACAACCAGCGCAATGCCCCAACCCACCCTGGCTGGGAAAAAGTCAACTCACTAATATAAAGAATATTAATACACACTTTAGTTTCATACACACAGGGTGTGACCTATGCTTCCACTGTGCTAGCTTACGTTTAATTTTAATTTGTACAGCAATCTACTTTTGTTTGGACCTTCCAAGACCTTCTACATCCCCCATGAAACTTCTCAATCTTTTCATATCTTAGATTCTCTGTCCCCAATATTGGTTTTCATCTTTTACAGGGAAGAGTCAGAAAAGAAAGGTGGGCAGATGCATTCTGCTCTTGAACAACTCACCTCTGGACTTTTGATTCCTGAGAAGTATGAGTAGATGCATTATTTTAGGGTTGCTATATTTGACAAAGTGAAAATCTGAATGCAAAAGTTGTAGATTTTGGGCAAAATCGCAACCAAAACTGACTTTTAGAGCTATTATAAATGAAAATCTGCAAAAACGACACTGCTGACATGGGTTGCCATATGTCTGGATTCCCCCCAGATATTTTTGTCGCTTTCTGCCCAGACACTGCTTCCAACTGCAATATTCTGGGTATGTGCGGAAAATTCTGGATGTATGGCAACCCTAATGGCCCGTAAGATCAGAAAGACTTGGAAGTGAACAGCCTCAGACTTAGTGACTAAGCCTAGGAGATCCACTTTTATAGATGAAAATCTCAATGCATTATCTGGGTCACATCAGTTTGATTCTGCAAGATACTAGGAACTGTAGTCCCAGTCCTTCAAAACTGTAAAGCATTCATTTATGTTATCAGTACTGGAGTTCCACTGATCTTATAAAGGCTTTTATTTTATGCAAGTACTTTTTAAAAAGTGAAAGTTAATTTCTAAGGTAAAAGGGCATTGGAAAAGGGCATTCTTAGAAAAGGATACAGGATCAACATTAAAGTGTAGATTTAAGAAATTGCTCAAGGGCAGAACTTTGTATCTTGGCAAACACATGCTGTGTTTGCAGAAATGTCATGTGAACTAGGGATGGGGGCTTGCAAGAGAAGATGCTTAATCGTTTCTACACCAGGAAGTCTTTCCTGCAAATAACCCCCAGCCTCAAGAATCAGCAACACAAAAAATAAGGTTGGAATTCCTATGTTTCTTCCTATGAAGGATCTGCTTTAAGGTTGCCTGAATTAATTAATGACTGTGAAATACCCTATAGGATACTCAAAGATTCCATCTTGCCTACAAAGCTTCCCCTCCACCCCCAAACCAAAAACCTATATATGCAATCTTTTTAGGAGGTCTATCCTGTGCACTGAGAACCCTTTTTCTGCTGGCTATTCCAGTATGTACCCCATTCCCCTGAGGACACACTACACTGGAAGCTCAGAAATTATGGAACCTACACGAACATTATCTTAGAAAAACCCACAAATGCATTGTTTTTTTATATCGTGCCTAAAACATACTAG